CCAGACCCCTCGGCTTCGTTTTCCTTCACCTTGGACTCTGGCGCCTCTCGGTGTTTCTTCCGCGACTCCACCACCCTGACGCCGCTTCCTGTTCCTGCTGCCGTTTCTCTTGCTGACCCCTCAGGCGGTCCGGTAGTCGCCCGCAGTTCCACCACCCTTCCCTGTCCGGCGGTTCCTTCGGGCTCTCTTACAGGTCTGCATATCCCCTCGTTCTCCAGGAACCTAGTTGGTGTCGGCTGCCTCCAGGACCTTGGCGTCACCACTACGTTCCCTGGTCACGAGCGGTATGCTGTCTGTACCGAGGCCGCCACTGGTGCCCCCCTGTCCACGTTCCCCCGGGACCCGGTGTCCGGCCTGTTCACTCTGGACACCGTGCCCCCCCCGGCTGGAGCGCCCCCTCAGGTGGCTGTGTCTACCCAGGTTGCTGCTGCCTGCTCCTGTCGCTCCCTCACTCACCCGACCCTCCTGTGGCACCACCGCCTAGGTCACCCTGCGCTCCCGCGTCTGCGTCACATGTCCCAGCACGGTCTTGTCCTTGGTCTTCCAGGTTCACTCCCCGCGTTTCCCTCCTCCCCAGCTCCACCTTGCACGCCTTGTGTCGAGGGTCGGCTTCGCCGTGCCCCTCACTCCTCCTCGTTCCCCCCTACCGCCGCGCCGCTGCAGACCCTGCACCTGGACGTCTGGGGCCCCGCCCCCGTCCCTGGGCCGCGTCGCGAGCGCTACTTCCTTGTGCTTGTCGACGACTTCACTCGTTACACCACAGTCTTTCCCCTGGAGCGCAAGGCCGACGTGCCTGGCGCCCTCATCCCCTGGCTTGTCTCTGCGCGTGTCCACCGCGGTCTCCCTGTCTTGCGTCTTCACTCAGACCGTGGTGGCGAGTTTGCCTCAGGTGTCCTTGGTCGCTTTTGTCGTGCGGAGGGCATCACCCAGACGTTCACCCTACCGGACTCCCCACAGCAGAATGGGGTCGCTGAGCGACGCATCGGTTTGGTCATGGAGGTCGCTCGCACCTCCATGGTCCATGCCGGTGCACCCCATTTTCTGTGGCCATTCGCTGTGCGCTACGCTTCTCACCAGCTTAACCTGTGGCCGCACCCTTAGCAGCCGCAGGTTTCGCCGACCCGTCTGTGGACCGGGTCTCCTGGTGACGCGTCTGCGTTCCACGTCTGGGGCAGCCTTGCTCACGTCCGTGCCTCCGGCACGGACAAGCTCACTGCCCGCACCCTTCCCTGCGTCTTCCTCGGTTTTCCCCTTGACGCGTCCGACTGGCACTTTTACCACCCGCCGTCTCACCGCTTCTTTCACTCTCGTGACGTCACCTTTGACGAGTCCGTCTCCTACTACCGCCGCTTCCCCCACCGTGGTCCCCCGGTTACCCCCCCCCCTGTTCCTGGTCACCCCTTCCCCGGTAGTCCCTGCCCCTCCTCCTCCTCCTCCCCGTCCCGCCCCCTCTGGTGTCTCCCACGTCACCCCCCTTCCGTCGGTGGACCCGGTTGAGGAGTCTTCTGACTCTGGTGGCCCTCCGGCGCAGTCCTCGCCGGCCGCCCCTCCCCAGGTGTCCCCTCCCCAGTCCCCTCCTCCGCCGCCCCTGCCGCCGCTGCAGCCGTCGCCGTCGCCGCCGTCGCCGCCGCCGCCGCCGTCGCAGCCCCCGTTCGCTGACTCTGGGGGTGCTCGTCCCGGTCGCCCTGAGGGTGGTCCCTCTGGGGGTGCGGGTGTGGAGAGTGCCGGTGGTAGCCGAGGAGCAGCTTGCGGTCCAGGTGTCGCCGTTGTGCCGCCCCAGCAGCAGTCCCCGCCGGTGTCCGCCCTTCGCCTGCTCGGCCTTCCGTCCCCCGACCCTGCGTCGGTTCCTCCCCAACCGTCTCCTCCTCTTCCTGTCCACGGCCCTGTTTTCCCTCCGCCGGACTCGTCCCCGGCCCGTCTTCCCCCTCGTTCCCCTCCTGTGTCCCCTCCCCTGTCTCCTAACCCGACTCCTCCCTCGCACGTCTGGTCTCACCGTCCCTCCCGTGCTCGTCCTGCCTCGCCTGTCCTGCGCTCCCACCCTATGTTGCTTCGTTCACACGCGTCTCGTCCTCCCCTTCTGCCGTCGCCTCCTCCGTCCTCCCTTGTTGTTGCGCCCCCCCCGCTGTCCGACTACCTTCGTGCCGCTCGTCCTCTCGTTCCTCGGGTCCTTGCCTCTCTCGTTACCGACCCGTCTGTTCCAGTCTCGTGCCTTGACGCCCTTGTCGCTGCTGTCGCTGACTTCGCCTCTACCCGCCGCCTTGACTACGCCACCGCTCTGGTCTCTGACCCTGCCTGTCCTCCGTCTGTCGGGGGTGCTCCTGCCCTTGGCAGTGACGTCCTGGAGGACCGCCAGTTCGAGCTTGCTTTCCTCTCCGAGGCTGCTCCCCATCTCTGTTCCATGCTGCTAGTCCCTGAGGGTGATCCAGACGCTTTCGACATCCCGACCCCTCGCACTTACGCTGAGGCGACTTCGGGACCCTGGGCCTCGCAGTGGATAGCTGCCATGGAGCAGGAGATGGCATCTTGGAGATCCACCGGCACCTTCGTCGACGCAGTTCCCCCACCTGGGGTGAACGTAGTCGATGGCCGCTGGCTCTTCAAGGTGAAGCGCCCTCCTGGAGAGCCGCCTGTCTTCAAGGCGCGCTATGTGGCTAGAGGCTTCAGTCAGCGCGAGGGGGTGGACTTCTTCCAGACTTTCGCTCCGACCCCGAAGATGACTACTCTTTGGGTTCTGTTACACCTAGCTGCTCAGCGTGACTACGAGCTTCACTCCCTCGACTTCTCCACTGCCTTCCTTCAGTGCAGCCTACACGAGCAGGTCTACCTGCGCCGCCCTCCGGGCTTTACTGGCACCTTCCCTCCTGGGACCCAGTGGCTCCTGCGGCGCCCCGTCTACGGCCTGCGCCAGGCTCCCCGTGAGTGGCACGACACTCTGCGTGCTACGCTTGCTGACCTGCAGTTCTTTCCGTCTTCTGCAGACCCTTCACTCTTCGTTCGTGCTGGCCAGACTCCGTTCTACATCCTCGTTTACGTCGACGACCTGGTCTTTGCCACAGCAGACAGGGACGCGCTGGCCTCCGTGAAGGCAGAGCTACTGAAGAGACACACGTGCACTGACCTTGGAGAACTGCGCCGTTACCTTGGCTTGCAGATCTCCAGGGACAGAGCTGCGCGCACCATCACCCTGACTCAGTCACACTTGGTGCGCCAGGTCCTTCAGAGGTTCAGCCTTCAGTTCTCCTCTGCACAGCCCACCCCTCTGCCTGTAGACCACAGGCTCTCCGCTCCAGTGCCTGAGGAGTTGGTAGAGCCCAGCGGCCCCTACGCAGAGCTGGTGGGTTGCCTCATGTACCTGATGACTTGCACTCGCCCAGATCTCGCATACCCTCTCAGCATCCTGGCTCGCTTTGTGGCCACAGGCAGACACCGACCGCAGCACTGGTCTGCCGCTAAGAGGGTTCTGCGTTATCTTGCTAGTACATCGGGCATGGGGTTAGTGCTAGGAGGACGCAGGCCAGCGGTCCTTACTGGGCACACAGACGCTTCGTGGGCAGACGACGCTGAGACACTCCGGTCTACCCAGGGCTACTGCTTCAGCCTTGGCTCAGGTGCCGTCTCGTGGAGAGCTACTCGCTCCTCGTCTGTTGCACAGTCCAGCTGTGAGGCTGAGATCTACGCCGGTGCCATGGCGGCACAGGAGCTCCGCTGGCTGACCTTCTTGCTCACTGACTTAGGTGAGCGGCCTAGCTCTGCCCCGGTCCTGTTCGCTGACAACAGGGCCATGATCCTCCTGCGTCAGGAGCCTCGACTCGAGGGCAGAGCGAAGCACATTCAGCTGCGGTACTTCCTCCTGCGTGAGCTACAGCAGCGACGTCAGGCTCGAGTAGTACACTTGGCCTCAGGTGCCAACACGGCTGATATCTTTACGAAGGCGCTTGCGCCTAAAGATCATCAGCGGCACTGTGTACAGCTTGGTCTAGTTCCTGTAGCCTCTCACTTGCTAGGACCTTGACTTTGTACTATCCTTTATATGTATACTCAGATTGGACTTGTGTCCTCTCCCAGTGGCTGGACTAGTAGTGCCGCCCTGCTCTTGTGCTTGCCTTGTCTGTACTCCTTCTGACGGGTCGCTCAGACCCTTGCCTCAGAGGTTGGACTAGTAGTGCCGCCCTGAGCTGTTTGTTTAGGACTTTCCCCTATGCAGTCTAGTGGGCAGGCCCCCAAATTGGTTTTGGGGGACGCTGATCCTTCAGTGTTTCCTGCCATTCCTTGGGTTGGTCATCAGCGTTGCCCTCGGAAAAAAGGCTGAAAAATCAGGGTAGCCTAAAAAAAATCGCTGATCAATCAGCGTTGCACCTAGATTTTACAGTGATCCAAAGTTTCCTCTGAACGTAGTAACGAGACATTTAATATGACGAATTCCTGGGTTGTTTGCGAGGGGTTTGCGAGGGCTGTGTCTCCCTCCCCCCTCCCCCTCCGTCTCGCTTCCCCCCTCCCATCTGTTTTCCTTCCCCCCTACAGTTCCCTCCGTTTCGATCCCCCCTTCCCCTTCGTTTTGCTTCCCCCCTTCCCTCGGTTTTGATCCCTCCCCTCTTCCCCCCGATTTCGGCTGCGAAGTGCGTGGGGGGGAGGGTTGTCTCTAGATATGGGGGACTTAGCCGAAATTTGTGTTCAGGGTAGAGCCCCCCTATAGCGCTGGGGCATCAGTGTACACTTGTATGAAAACACTGAAAAATCAGCGTAGGAACACAAAACTTTGCTGAAAAATCAGGCTAAGGGTAAAAAAAAAGGCTGAGCAATCAGCGTAGGTACCAGAAAAAGGCCTGAAAAAAGGCTGAATCAGCGTAAAAAGGCTGCAATTTGGGGGCCTGCTAGTGGGTGTGTCAAACATGTCTATGTGTTATGTTTGTATAGACTGTATAGGGTAGCCTCTTAGAGGGTACAACACTTAGCTATATTGTGTGTACTCTCACTGTATCACTAACACTTCACTTTCTGATACTAATTCACTCAGTTCTTAACAACGACTACCAAGCCTACAATTATATACTAACATATATAATTTAACAAATGCCTCCACCAACAAAGACTTCCGCAGACTTGCCTTCCCAAAAGATCCTATGGGGACCCAATACAAACTTAGACATCATCGCAACTACCGTAATTGAAACCATCTCAGAGTCTTAACCTTATAGTGTTCTTGTCCTTGGTTTTGAAAAAGATGGTGTGAACCATGCCAACAAGCCCAATGATGAGAGCCATATCTACATTGGGCTTGATGCGCACACCATATTCTTGGGCGTTCATAACCTGTGTACGTGCCAAATTAAGCGTCGCTTCTGCCAAAAGAAGCCCACTGGATGTGGTGATCTGCATACAGAGCGAAATGGAAAGAACACCTCCAGATTGAGAATTGAGACCTCGAGGTGAGGTTTGATGAAAACATCAAATAAGGGTGCATTCCTACGAACCTCTCGTCTCATCAGTTCAGAGAATGAGAGGTTCCCGTCTATTACGGCGCGCGTTTGTTTTGCACGCCGCTCTTCGTGAAAATTCTGCTAAACGAGATTGGACCCCGTCTTATCAGGCCAACTAGACCACCAATGGGCAGTCCTTGTGCGACAGCTGTGCGTTCACCGAAGTTCCGCAATGTTCGGAACACAGATGCATGAGTCTTTGGCCAATCTCACTCCTGGGCAGCTCTCAAAATATGAAGATTCGCTGCTTGTGTTTTGTTGTTTGAGCTCGCTTGTCACAATGTGCCAATGTTGGTTTTTTTCTCCGCTGCTGTGCAGTCTGGTTTTTGCTGGGTCAGCAAATTTGCGGATTCGAAATTTGTGTCACGAACTTGTTCGACTATCGGTGTGTGCACATACTGAGGTACCAATCATGTCGCGCTAGGTGACTAGATAACCGCGCCGCAGGGGTTCGCAAGCTCATTGTGCAATGTGACGAAAGGTTTTACCAAACTGCAGCGCAGCTGGGTCAAACTGCCGTGGGTCAAACCACCCTAAGATGAGGGGATTTCTCTGACTAAATAGCAAAAATCTGGGGTTGTGACGTTGGCAAAGATGGGGGGGAAAGGGGGGGGGGGGAGGGGGAGGGGAGGGGGGGAATACTTACAGTGTAATCGTGATAGAAAAATTTGCCTTCGACAATGATGTCTGGATTACGAGACACGTTCCCCTTCAGGAAAACCTGCACATACGTGAACAAATGGAGAGAAATCCATCTATCACTGCAAAGCAGGGATCCGCCATACATTGCAACTCCTCTGACAAGCAAGATAATGTAAGGTCTTCAGACCCTGCACACACCCAAGGTTGTGTGGTGGGCTGTCTGTGACGCCTCCTGAATCCGCTCATGCGAAATGTCCTTTGGTGCTGTTTGTAACAAGCCCCCTTTCGCGAACTGTCTCACCCCTCACATTAAGAGCTTCGGCGAAGGAGAGTAACTCCTTTTTTGCAGTCACCAGCGCGTCGTTAAGGTCCGTGCTTTCACCCGCAGTTAGGAAGGTGGTGTCATGAAGACTAAGGAGCGAGCTCGACTGCGTGAACACGGGCTGATCCTTGGCGTTGTACACCGTCTTTCGCGAGTGTAAAGACACCATCCTGCCACGGGGAGGAGCGGGAGAGAACACGTAAATAATATTTTATTGAACCTCCATCTACCCAACCAGCTGCCGTCAACGCTTCCCCCTTCGCCCTGCTTCCGCACTCACTACTGCTACTCCGTGTTACATCCCATACTTCTGCGAAGCTCTTGTACCTGGGCCGAGTCAGTTGGAGAAGGGGATTCGCCACACACGCTGCTGCTGGACATTCAGTCGTTACTAACAGATCCGACATCACTCTAGTTAGGAGTGAAACGATGCTTCTTTAAAAAAAAGTGTCTAGGATGAATGTATAACTTACATTAACGTACGTATCCTCATTAACATACTTATTTTCTGACATGAAGAACAGCTGGCCCTCGGTGTCGCGAATCTCCGCCCTCCCATGCAAAGAAAAAATGTTCTCCTTCAATACAAGCACCGTCTCATGCGGCACGCAGTACTCGATTCCCATCACCACGTACGGCTCCGTCGGCCCCGCGCGCTGAGAAAATTCAGTAGCCATGGCGAACTACGGGATTGTACAAGCTCGGGTGAGACTAGGGTGACAGGCTCGGGTGACAGGCTCGGGTGAGGCTTTCCTTAGGTTCCCAGCGACGGAGTTTGGACTGACGTACAGAATACCTCAGAGTAGTGCGATTGTGGTGAGTTCTATTGGCTTGGGGAGCCTTCAGAAGAAAAGCTCTCAGGGGCCCGGAGTAGTTCGGCGCCATCCACTTCGGCGCTATCAACTCGCTGCACCAGACTGCACCGATGATCCTACCAACTGTTTTCGTATTAACCGAGCTGCACCGCCGATATGCGAAATCGTCGGCTGGAGCTTCTCGGCGCTGACGAGCACCGCACGGAGCCTCGCGTTGAGCATCGCGATCCCGTGACGTCGCAGGTAGTCAAACTATGGCCAGGAAGAGGTTCTGTGTGTTGTGCGTATCTGTTACTACGATACAGAGTGGTAGTGTACTTCGCTTCCGCGTGACCTGCGCACTCTCTTGCGCGCACCGTCTTGCGCGCACCGTCTTGCGCGCACTATCGTCCTGCGCACCCTCTTGCTGCGTCAGTGAGGAGGATGACGACAGCCGAGGTTATGCATAAACCGATGAAGCAGTGATTGGCTGGAATATCGCGTTGCAGTGGAAAATGGTGGATACAGCAGCCACGCGCGTGAGCTTCGACGGCAATTGGATGGCGTCACAACAAGGACTGAGGCGCACGGAAGCGCTCGCAGAAGCGCTTGCAGTGCAGAAGCGCTCTGAGACTTGCTGACTCATTCAGTGAAGTATTTGCAAGTCTGTCAGGTCTGCTATGGACGGACTCCGCACCGCAACAGAGCTGGCTTGCGGCACAAGCTGCGATTTGTAACAAGACTTTCCTTTCGCTCAACGCCCTTCGCAAAGCTAGATTCGTCGCGCGCTGCTTGCTAGGAGGCCGAGACCATGCCACGTCACCCGGCGCCCCATTACCCCCCCTCTTTCCGCAACCTTTCCCGCGCTCATTGGCCTCAAGGCCAGTGCAGCTACAGACACGCTACAGCCTATGCTGTAAGGCGGAGGTCCAAAACCTACAAAAATCCTCTCAAGATCGCCACGGACTTAAGTTGCTACAAACCCCCTATCTCCTAGAATGACATATCCACGCGCGGTGAAACGAACCTCCTGCTGAGTCACTCAGGACGAAGGAAACTCGGGTTGGGAGCGAAACACTGAGGGCAGGTCGAAGGAACGTTCAGTTACGGTTTAGTGAGTTTCTTTGCGTTGGAATATAGCACTGGAGCGGTTGAGAAGATTTTTAGCGATATCAACTGTCCAGTCCCCTGACTTAGATAAACGCCGATGCCCCCTTGACCTCTGTTGTGGAGCACCCAACAACTAGCGAATGACTCAGCCGTAACTGCCTGATGGCCTGTTCGCTTTCTTTGAGATGTTCCTTACCGAGCTGTACTTTGTACTGTACACTCAACCTGTGAACCCTTGGTTCGGTTCCGCCGAACCATCGGAAGTTCTCCAGGCCTCTTGAAAACGCCTCAAGACCCTTCGATCCCTCGTTCGAACCTTCTCATCTCACGGCTAATATAGCTCTGGTGTTCTTGTATATTGCCTCGCCACCCATTGTGTTGTCATTCAGTCATTCACCACTTCTATACTGTATTCCGCGCTACTCTGCAAGTTTACCCATACAGTTACATGTTGAACAAGGCCCGAACTTATACGACAAGCCCTGATCAAACGAGAATGAAGGGCGAAAGTTGACAAACCCAACGCGACCTCGAATTGGTGCTGATCTCATGAGCAACCTTGCGACAGCTGCGACAGTCTCCATACTTCTGAGAGGCACACAGCCTCTGCCCTGTCCGCGCTTGTGGCGCCCCCTAGACGTTGGCCCTGGCAGCTCTCGCTCTCGCTCTCGCTCTCGCTCTCGCTCTCTCTCGCTTTCGCCCTAGGAAGTGGTGATTAGGGCGTGTGACATTTTGAACGTACACCCAGATATTCGATCATGTCACAGGTTTTGAAACGACAGGTGTGATTTTTTTTGTGCCGAGTGACCATATCGTTTTATTATCACCTTGGCCCAATTCCGCACCTAAAGCGTGACTGTAACACCCGACGGTCGATTCGGAATCTCGTCAAGGATGCTGCCGAAGATCTCGCGCGGTGTTTTGTCTTTCACTGGGGACTTTCGAGATCTGGAGGGACAGTTTGTAAAGCATAAAAGGACTCGAATACTGGATTTTCGACTACAAACAACGCAGAAGACAAACCAAGATAGACTCAAACCAGAGGTTCAGTATTCACTGAACAATTTTTCCCTCGACATCAACAACAACAGAGGGAGGAGCCAGCACGAAAGAGGCAAAGAGCAACAAAACCAGAGGGGCAAAACATGGCACCACCATGGAAAAGCAAAGCAAACAAACAACGAGCAAGCATACATGAACTCTCTAGACATTGCACACCGGGATGGACTTAGTATTCGTTACAAACTCCATCTGTCCTCTCAGTAACATTCAAGCCACAGCGTCACAGCCACAGCCATTTCAGCATACCAGCATGTCCGCCACTGCATCTCTATGCCGCAGTCTCTATCAGGTCGGTCGTGGGCTGGCCATCGTCAGCAGTCACAAAATCCAGGGCCCTCATGGCGCGCCGCCCAAGTGCCAGCCTTGAAATTGCAGCCGCGAGGTCGTTCATGTCAGCGGCATCCGCGCCCCTTGCATACTGGGCAGTTGCATTCACATGTGGAAGCAACGACGCCCATGTCGCAGGGAGGCAGCCAGTACGCCACCAGCAACGCTGCACGGTGACGGCGCTAACAGAGCTCCATGCCTCCGCCAGCCAAACCACCGTATCGCGCCATTTCGGTTTCGCACTTGACAGCCGTGCACCCAAGCTTCCGGTCTCCCACAAGGCAATCAATTCTTCCACCCACTTCTTGCGGTAGTGGGTCTTAACTGTGGCGATGATGCCTTGATCCAACGGCTGCGTGAAGCAGGTGGTGTTCGGCGGGAGAAAGATCAGTCGCACGTTCGACATCTTCAAGGTTTTGAAGCCAAGAAGTTCCTCCTCAATAGCCCGCTGCGGATTCAAGGCATGGCTAGACGCGTTATCAAGCAATATTACGACCTGCCTCCCTTCGATGAAGAATCCGGCATTCACTCCCTCCATCCATTCCGTGAAGAGCTGATACACGTAAAATCATAGGGACATGGGAAACATGTCAAAGCCTTCTACAAGCATTTGGAAACACAATGGGAAAGTACTGCGTTTTTGGAATTCAATATGACGAAAGGACTCGAAGCGTACCTCGGAATTCATCCACCCCTTTCGGTTCGAACGCCAGCGCACGTAGAGCTCAGGGTCGAAGTCCCTCCCAAAGTCGCGTGGCCTCCTGACTTTCGAAATGACGAAGGCCGGGAAGTTGTGTGAACCGTCCGCGTTGCAGAGGAGTGCCACCGTCACTCGGTCTCTGGCAGCCTTGCCACCCGGCAGAGTCGTCTCGGAGTAGGTGCGACGGGGCTGAAGTGCCGGGTACAACGGCAACTCATCAAGGTTGTATAGGTCCTTTGGCGGCACATTGAGGCGTAGGAGTACGGGGGGCAAGTTGGTGCGGCATATGTCTAGGCGACTATCGCCTACGGCGCAGCGAAAAGTATTTAGAAAATACTTGTGCAAATAGCCTCAAGGGCATTGCCTCATAATCTGATCTCAAAGTGGTTGCAAGTTGTCAATACACACAAGCATTCCACTAGTTCCAATGAGATCCAAAGCACACAAGAGTATACTGATTTATAGGCAAACGAGAAGAACAAACGCGGTTCGTAACTGCCGTGTGCGCTGCGCGTAACTCGCGCGCTTCGTGTCATGCCGAGTCGCACACGCAATCGCGACTTTCTTGCTGAACACGCCGTTGGTCCGAAGTCAGAATGCTTGTTGAACACGCCCCGTCCGAAACCCAACTTTTGCCCCACGTCAATCTGTTTCTCGCCACTTCCATTCCTTTCCTCCACTCAACCACCATTCTCCTTACTTTCCACCAATCTTCTCTCTTTCTTCTCCCCTTTCCGTACACCTCACGCTCACGCAATACCCGCTTCCTAGTACCTTCTCGTCCCAAGTCCGCATTTCTCTCCTCGTCACCCCAAGTCACGAGTAGTCCGTCGTGGGTGGCGGAACCACTCCAACAATATGTAGACGCCATCCATAGCTGCGTCCCCAGCCTCTCCTTTCCGCGAAAGGCACCTGAATCCCATCCTGTCGAGCGCCTTCTGCAGCCATCCGATGCTGCAGAGAAAGGTGGGGTGCAAACCGAGCTCGCGTGCCAATACACGTGCCTTCTCCTGGATCACCTCTAGAGTTAACGGTAATCCCGCCGTTGCAGCAGCACAAATCCATACCTTCAACCGTTCCTCGAGAACTGGGTGATGGCCCCTGCGGATTCGGCATTCCTTGTCGGAGCGTGGAGAAACCTTGAGCCATTCCTCCTTGTTCTTGAGAATCTTGCATATGGTTGAACGGCTGGGGAGAACACCAAATTCAGATTCAACCCACTCTGCCAATTCTGCATGGCGCAATGTTGGGTGCGCTTGAGCATGCTTATAGACGGAGCGTTTCGTAAGTCGATTCAGACGAGCTCGGGTACAAATTCGCGCCATCGCTAACGTAACACGGTCTAGCGAGAGTGATCTGGCTGTCGGGAGGGATGTTCGAAGGGTTACACCCGCCAGTTTCAGTATCGAAAATGTCGCAACTGGGTGATGTGTGAATAAGCCTCAGCAGCGACCCCATGAATATTGTCTCCCGCGGCTCGGCAGGTTCGTTTCTCCGAGTCGCGCGATTGGACCTGCTGTTTTCTATTTCTTCGACTCCCCACAAATATCGCTGCTCACTTGGCGTTTCCCTAGAACTTGCAGGGGCTCCATGTTACTTACCACACCACCACAAATCTCACGCCACTCTGTCTAGCTGCCCCTCTTCATAGCCGACGTCGTCACTCCATATCGGTTGTGCGCCTATTTTTCAGTCGCGCGTTGCAAACATTCCAGTAATTAGGGAAGCTCGTCTGTAAACTTGAAACAAATTGATTTTAGGGTAAGTTGCCGCTTTGTTCAATGTTATCCCCATTGTTCTGATCTCGGCAAAGGGGTCTCATCTTAGAACCCCTTAAACTGTCAACGAAGCCACCGTCCACGTTGGTTCCCTCAGAAATCCAAATACACGTCACCATGTCACATCTGATCCAGGCCCATTGGCGGGAAATATGGTGTTCGGATTATCACGTTTGTTTCCGCGAATTGAATGTTTGCGACGCCTTGGTCGGTTGATTTCGCGCGCTACCTCGGACTACCAAATCGGATTGCCAGATCTTCGCGGATTGATGTCATTAAGCCAATGCGGCAGCTTGCACATAAATACTTTGGCCAATTACGTCAAATTCAATCATGAAATTCGATTGCTGTGACATAACAATCCGTTGGCCCAAAACTAAGTTGAATGTACCAAAAAGTTTCTTTTATCGACTGTTATTGTATCGAATATCTGGGTGTATCGAGATTGGGGTACGCAATTTTACATATTCGCAGAATTGACGAAGCGTGTCGCGAATACCCTCAATAAAATGTCACATCTGGGTACAAGACTCCCTCGCACACGTCCGAACCTGCCAGACCAGTTTCCGCATTTGAGGTCCAGCATGACCACACACCCTGTCACTTTCTGACGGTGGACACTATTACTCGCAAGCGATCTGGACGAAGCTGTTACACACCAGAACTCGCATTTCGAGGGTCGATTATTGGTGGCGACTCACTACAGGTGGACCACTCCTGATCGTCGCACGGTCTTGACGAATTCTGACGATGCTACTTTGTCGTCGCTTGACTGTGTACGCGCCACGGGGACGTACCGCGCTGTGCCCTCGACTGGGTGCGGAATACAGCTTCAAAATGCAATTTGGAACCTGCTTTTCGAACCTCGAATGTTGACGAAGTCCGCACCCGATGTACGTTAAAGCGAGGGTCTCAAGAAGCAGAAAACCAAATCCAAAGGTTTTGGTTTTGGGTTGACGAACTTTGAGAAACAGTTACAGCGCCCAATCAGCACCCCTTACCACACCTCTCAATTTTAGAGACCCCCCGAAACCAAAACCTTTGGGTTTGGTTTTTTGCTTCTTGAGACCCTCGCTTTAACTCGGTATGGACTTTTGCATTTTTTTCAAAATGTCACACGCCCTTAGGACAAACCCAACGCGGCCTCGAATTCGGTTCTGGGCCTCATGAGCGGACTGGACCAGACAGTTGCGACAGCTGCGACAGTTTCTATACTTACGACAATCACCGCTTGTGGCGCCCCCTAGACGTTGGCTCTGGCAGTCCTCACTCTCACTCACTCTCACTCCACTCTCACTCTCACTCTCCCTCTCGCTCTCGCTCTCTCTTCCACCTTAGGAAGTGCCGACCTGTCGCACTGGCAGTCATGACTCATGCGGGTCTTCCAGCCGTCATGACACGTGTCAATCAGAGTCGTCCAACGCGTAGGTGGGATCGACGTCTCGGAGTCGATTCCTTGGAGTACTTCGTCGCTAGTAGTAATACTTCTGTGCTCACAGCGATCGCAACTACAGCATCATGACAGGCCCAGCTCTCGCGCAACTGAGCTGTAAGTGGAACTGCGTCGCTCCCTCGCCGTCCGGCCGTCGCTCGGAACTTCCCCTTTTCAGTCTACGTCTCCGTCCCGTTCGCTCTTCTTTTCATCGTTGCTGCGGCGAAGCCTCTCATCTCAGTGGTTTCGCGAGTGCTGTCCAAGGTCGCCGCTGCCACGACCGGAGGTTGGCGTCAGCCTGCTCGCGCCCGCCGCCCCACGCGGCGCCGCCACTCGCTCCTCCACGCGCCCCTCTTCGTTCCGCGACCCGCGCTACAGCTCTTCGTTCCGCGACCCGCGCTACACGCCGTCTCGACACAACGAGACTATTTCGGCCGAGTCTGTCGGGTGCACGAGCGTCAGAGTCCATCATGCCACGCGGAGCCAGGGGATCCAGCGCTGACGCGTCCGACTCGTGTGGAGCAGCGCAACCCTCGTCTGGACCGAGCGCGGCGAGTGGGACTCCCACTCGGGGTGCTGATCACAGCGAGACGGACCACCCTCTTCGCGGCCGCGTGCTCGGCCCTCCCCCCGCTGACTCGCTCTTCTGGGATTCCCGCTGCTTCTCCGGCCCTGTGGTCGTACCCCCGTTACAGTCACACCCGGATCCAGCGGCACCTGCTCAGGACTCCTACGTGCTCCCTGGCTCACCTCCTGCTGGGGCGCAGGTTGAATCGAACAAGGTGACTTGTGAGTTATGGATTCAAAAGTCTCCTGGCGCGCAGGTTGAGCTGAACGAGGCTGCGGGTTCCCTTGTATGGCGGATGTACTACTATGGGAGGGACTCGGACTGCTGGGCGAAGGGGGTTAAGGCCCTGCCCGTGCCCATTGGTCGGGTGGGGCTTGCTGTTAGCAGGGACGGGGTGACGTGGCATCGCGTGAAAGGGCCGTTGCCTGGCGGGGCTGTGCTGGATCCTGCTCAGTCTGACGTGGCGTTTGACAGTGTCCACGTGGCAGTTGGGGACGTATTCTGCGTGTGGAAAGCAGAGCGTGCCAATGGTGATGAGTCAGACTCTGCTGACGATGACTCAGTGTGTGCCATTGATGACCCAGCAGCATGCGCCGGTGCTGCTGATGGTGGCACAGGCACCAGCACTGCTGGTGCAGCAGCCACATGCAGCAGCAGCTGCAGCGAGCAGCGCGAATGGTGCATGCTGTACTCTGGGGGCAGCCTCAAACTTGTCGACCTGCCTGGACTGCCCGGAGTGAAAGTACAAGGTGCAGAGATCCAGATAGGAGCAGCATGGTCGACGGACGGAGTGCACTTCCATGGGAGAGCAGAGAGGCCGCTATTGGAAAAGGGTGAACCCAGGGAGTGGGATCAGTTTGGCGTGTCATGGCCTCGTGTCGTCTGCCTGTCACCTGCACCTGCTGCTGCTGCTGCTGATGCAGCAGAATCTGACAGCAGCAGTGGTAACCATGTTACTGCATACCCGTGTCCGTGTGATACAGGTGACACGTGGCTCATGACCTACCACACACGTGGACAGGATGAGCACGGGAAGGCAGGCTACTCTGCCGGAGCTGCTGTGTCACGAGATGGTGGCAGAACCTGGCAGCGTCTGGGGAAGGTGCTATGTGGGGGGGGACCAGGGTCGTGGGATGAGCAGGGAGTGTCTGTGCGCAGCGTTGTGGCAGTGCCCTTTGGAAGAGGGCTGCCATCTGAGTTTACTCAAAACAGACCCTCTGTAGGAGGGCAGCGTTCTGCAGATGGCATTGATGCTGCAGCAACAGCAACAACACCAGCAGCAGCAGCACATGCACGTCTCATCATGCTGTATGAAGGATGCAACAGCAGTAACGAGTATGCCATTGGCCTTGCCACATCAGACAACGGTGGGCTGACGTGGCACAAGGCCATTGGTGCAGGCCCCGAGCCAGGTGGGCCAGTGTTGAAGGCGAGGAGAGGGGAGGAGGCATGGGACAACATTCTTGTCGGGGCGCCTTATGTGGTTCCCGGGCCGGATGGCAACTTTTGGATGTATTATGTGGGGGTGGGGCAGATGCAGGGGGATGAGGCGCCCAGGCAGGGGATTGGGTTGGCTGTGAGCCGTGGTGGCGACTACACTAGGTGGGAGAGATACGACAATGTATAGATTGTTACCGGTAAAAGACCTTCGTTGTTTGTAGGTACTAGATTTCGGTAACTGAATGTTACCTCTGGTAAAGAAGCTTATACATGGTTCTGTACTGTACCTAACAATACTAGTTACAGAAACTCCATGTGGAGAAAAGAGCAGAGCAGCTAATCTGAGAAGCGAGTTCTGACAAGCTTCCCCCCTCCACCCTGTGGCTGCACGCATGTCCCTTGCTGCTGTGCTGCAGCACGCTGTCCAAGATGGCGCTCAGGGGCACCGTGCATGCTGACATCTCCCAGCTCTCTGCACTAACCTCGCTGTATGCCCCTGCCTCCTACTGTGCCGCTCATTCCTCTACCATCCAACTCCCTGCGTTCCACTATTCCTGCATTCCCTGAAAGTTGATGTCCCATGAGTTTTGACGTCCCTTGTGCGTTGATGCCAACCAGATGTGTGGTCGGTCGTTGCTCACGTGACCGACTCCCTCTCGTTCCCCCCGCCCCAGTGATCTGAGCTACAACCTTGTTCCCCCCGCCCCAGTGATCTGAGCTACAACCACGTCTAATGTGGGTTAGCTACGTTCATTTCTGCCATCATCCCTCTCGTCGCCATCACCCTCTCGGCGCCATCACCCCTCTCAGCACCATCACCACTCTGTAAGTGCCAACTCTCTCTCTCTCTCTTCCACAACTGGTCCGTGTATCGGCCTCTCCCTCTCTCATCTCTTGCTGCCTCGTTCGTGCTCTTCCATTAACATCACGCCTGTGGCACCACTCTGTGTATTGGTCTCTCCCTCTCTCTCATCTCTTGCTACCTCGTGCTGTTCCTTCAGCATCCCACCCTGTGGCACCACTCTGATTTTACCCTCTGCTACTTGCCAGGAATATCTCGGGCAGCTACCTGTATGATAGCATGCCAGCGACTCTGGTCAACATGGTAGGCCTCACGACGTGTCAGTACTTCTCAGCCCATGCCCATGCCCATGCCCATGCCCATGCCCATTGCCATGTCACATGTGCCATTCCAAATATCATATCCACAGCATGGCATCCCCTTCTCTTCAATCCAAGAGCCTCCAGGCACTTCGCCAAAGCCAGATACCTGTCACCCGTCTTTTGAGGCTCCTCAAAAGGCACTTCGCCAAAGCCAGACACCTGTCACCCCTCTTTCTCACCCCCTGCGTGCAGCAGGCGCACAGGGCAGAGGCAGACCTACCTCACAGGGTCGCTGCCAATCATCCCCACGAAGATCAAGGCCCTGGCAGTCAATAGCAGCTTCCCGGGCGCCTTTTCCTTCCCCTCGCAGGCCTTCCATCTCTGCGGCATCCCCGCCATCTGCTTCTCCTCCCCCGGCTCTGCACCAGCACTGCTGGGGTGGCTCAGCGCGCCTCTGGCTGTAACATCTGCAACAACAGCAACGTCTCCCCCCCCTCTCTGCTCTGGCTTTGAGTCGACTCAAAAGCACACTGCCGGGGCGGCTCAGTGCGTCTCTGGCTGTAACAGCTGCGGCACCAGTGTACCACCAACGCCGCGCTCCCCCCCTCTGCTGTGGCGCTCCCTGCATCTCAATGCCATGGCCGCCCTGGCTGCTGGCACGGACAACAGCCCTGGCTGCCGGCACGGTCAACAGCCCTGGCTGCCGGCACGGTCAACAGCCCTGGCTGCCGGCATGGCCAACAGCCCGGACAATCTCACGCAGCCCTTCTGCTGCCAGCCTGTCACCATTGGCACCACCTCTGGTATGCGAATCCTGCCAACATGGACCCACGCATGTGAATGTGTGTCCCACAGGCATCTAGTTTTGAGGCGCCTCAAAACTGGACCCGCACATGTGAATATGTGTCCCACAGGCATGCATTCACATGCCATCCACTTGTGCCCTTGCATTCCCTGTCATACCATGCCTCTCCTCATGCCTCCATGGCCCCTCACAGCTCTCCACCTTCTGTTCTCGACGCCTCTCTCCCCCACCCCAAGCGCTGCTGACTCTGAAGGCGGCGCTGGGAGTGGGGGTGACGAGCTGGCTGGAGGACGCGCCGCCCATTGTGGCGGGCAGCCCTGACGTCCCTGCCAGCTGGGCCGACCTCAGCAGCACAGTACAGAGACATGTGGCGTCACTGTACTGTGCTGCTGGACCTGTGGTGTCGTGCTGTGCTGCCGGGCCAGAGTCTCGCTGCTGCCAGCCGCCCCTCACTCTTGCACACATGCATCCCTCACCGACCCTCCCTCTCCTCCCTCTCCTCCCTCTCCTCCCTCTCCTCCCTCTCCTCCCTCTCCTCCCTCTCCTCCCTCTCCTCCCTCTCCTCCCTCTCCTCCCTCTCCTCCCTCTCCTCCCTCTCCTCCCTCTCCTCCCTCTCCTCCCTCTCCTCCCTCTCCTCCCTCTCCTCCCTCTCCTCCCTCTCCTCGCTCTTCTTCCTCTCCCCCTCTCCTCCTCCCTCTTCGCCCTTCCCACCCACTACCTTCCCCTTCCGCCCCCTGCTGCCCCCCACCGTCTCTGCGTCCGGTGGCGGTGAGGATGTCCATCAAGTGGGTGCTGGGGGTGAGCGACGTACGCCGAGGGCGGTGGGGAGAAATTCCCCCTCTCCTCCCTCTTCCCCCCACTCCAGTGGTGGCGCTGATGAGCACCAAGACGTCCGGACTGGGCCACCACGTCGCAGTGCACGTTGGCAAGCAGATCAGGCGGTAGGGGGAACTTCACATGCTTGTGGTCCAACACCGCTCCACTGGCAACCCTGTAAAGTTGTGAGCCCAGGGAGCGGAGGCAGGGCCAGAGGGGGGCCAGGATGAAAGGAGACAGGATTGAAGGGACACAGACAGGATTGGAGCCATCAATTGCAATTGCGTTGCTTCTTCCCTCTCAAAACCAATAGTTGTCATTTCTGCCTAGCTCTATCCCCACCCACGTTTTGCCCTCTCTTTGCTCCCAACCTTGCATCCCCAACCCACTTCCTCCCCTCTGTTTTTCCCCGCAGCCTGTTGGACAACCAGAATGCTTTCTGACATTCTGCATGCTGTCATCACCAAGCTCACGGCACTCATATTCCAGTAACTACTCTCACTCCTGGCAGCACGCACAAAGGCACTCATCCCCGCCTGGCACATCTTGAACATCGCCGCTTCAGCTGAGTGCTCGCTGGCCTCCTCCGTCCACCCCGTTCCCAGCCGCACTTCTTCCCTCCTCATCGTGCATGTGTGTCCCGCGTGCACCGTAGCTTCCTCAAGTTCAACCTGTTCAGAGCTGTAAGCCAGCCACACTGCAGCCACCTCCCCAAAGTGGGAAACTGCACCCACCTCCCCACAATGCGTGACTGCACCCACCTCCCCTGCCACTTCACCACACCCCCTGCCTTGAGCACCCTGCAATATTCCACCTCCTCTTTTGCTCTCTCCCCTCCATCTGTACTCTACCCCATCCTACTCCCCTGTGCTTCCCTCTCCCACGCCATCTGTGCTGCAGGCAATTGAGATTTACCCCCTGGAATTGTTGGGGTGACCTCGCTCACACGCCTGTGAGTACCACCCGGCAACCGCCTCACCAGTGCCACCGCATGCACCACCAAAGGCACGGTGCAGCGGGCGTCTTGCAACATCTGTGGCGTCTCCTCTGGCCGTGCTACAGCAGGGGCATATGCACTCCCAGCACAGACGCGCCCTTCAATGCCGAGTCGTTCGACAGTGCCTCTGCAGCCGTCCTGCCCGTGAGTTGCGTCGGTAAGTATCTGCATCATTGTGAAGTGCTTGTGTCTACATGTGCAGTTCCCCATTCGTCACCTCGCTTTCTCACCCACTCTCCCCCCAGCCTCGCTCTTTCAATCTCCCCCTCCTTGTTTGCAGACAGTGTCTGTGTGGCTCCGCATCACCCACGTTCTGCCCCACGGCTTGTTGGGGGTTACCCTTGATCCATCAAGAATCAGGTCAGGATGCCCCAAATCAGATAGCTGGGATAATTGACGAAATGAATGTCTGATGCCTCAGATATCTGGGGCCCTGGAGGGCGGCCTCATGACTCAGCCCACCTCAGAATGAGTCCAAGGCCCTGCCTAAGGGCATGATCATCTGGCTCACGATTCGGCCCATTTGTGAGGGCCATAAAATACACTAAGGGTAGGTCTCAGAATAACATATTGAAACTAGACAAGGGCATATAGGGTGTTCTTATGCTTGTGTGTTGTACCCTCTAAGAGCATGCACCTATCTAGCCTGTAATTACAAATATATATGAGTTGACACACCCCCTAGGCTAGACAAGGGGCAGTGCCTAGCAAGAGACATGCAGCTCAGGGTGGCACTACTAGTCCAACCTCTGAGGCAAGGGTCTGAAGACCAGTCAGCAAGAGTACCGTATACACCCGGCTAATGACTGTCGAACATATTTGTATATGTTGCTATGGACTAGATAGGGTCATGCCTTAGCGAGTACAACAATTTCGGTCAAAACCACTATGTACTCTGTTTTCTAGACTATTCTTCTTTTCTGAGATGGTATCATAGTAGGTTAGGTCCACCCACCCGCTTCCGCCCTCGCCCATGTTGTGATATAATTGGTACTTAGCATTTCTGTAAGTCGATTAAGTGTAGTTAGTGTCGAATCATACTGAAGAACATAAGTACGTAGGATGACGTCAGCAAATAGCGCTCGTCATAGGACAGTCGTTTCAGTCACGCGAATAGTCGCACCTCTTCATTATCATCTAGGGCGCATAGCGCGATAGTGACGAACAGGTACATTAGCGAATAGGTACTTTTCCTAGAACTATAAATCCTTGTCAGGTCTTTTCATTATTAACTTTGATTACACACAAGTTCACGTACTCAGGTTATTCAACCTTGACTATTACATTTACAAGACTTCCGCTGTCTTATTAGTCTACCATTCCAGCAAAGATCCTGGACCAACACTTGAGGATTTGCCAAGTGTTCATGTTTATAGTTTTATACTTAGTCTACTACAACACCAGACAATTTACTTCATGGTATGAGAGCTATATGGAATTAAGACTATCGTCAATTATGACTGGTTCAACACCAGCACCATCTACTGGGTCAGTTACTGGGATTACTGGAGCGCATGCCTCCACTACCGCCGCTGGTCTCTCAGCCTCTGGGCTCTTTCCACCAGCCTACGCTAATATCGGTATGCAGAATCCGCCTTCTGTGAATACTCCAGGTGCTCCATCGACTGCACCTGCAACGCAACAGCAACAATCACAGACAACAGCACAGCAACAAGCCTCAGTACAGCCACCAGTTTCAACGCAATCAATTTCATCTGCGTTCAGTGGGATGAGCCTTGAAGGCTCAAGCTACATGCGTGGAGCTACAGCTCCAAATACTGGTTCGTTTGCCTTCTCACCTTCCGTACAGCAGCCACAGTCGCAGCAGTTTCAGCATCTTTTTTATATCTTCGGTCGTTCTCCTGCTCAGCAACCACAGCAAGTACAGCAACAGCAGTATCAGCAACCACAGCAACAGCAACAGCAACAGCAACAACAACAGCAACAACAGCAACAGCCAGGCATTGTTTTTCAGCCTCCAAATTTACTTAATAATACTCAGATCAAGACAACCGTACCTTTTAATGGTGTTGACTTCTACTCCTGGAGCTTTGAGTTTGAGCTTATGGCGCAGTCCGCTGGGCTATGGCGAATTTACGTACCCCGTCGTGGGAACACAATTGGAGCAGCAGAGTTTTTTACACGCCTCTCTCGGGGCGTATACAGTTGTTGTACGAAACCTGTCACCGAAGGAGCAGCTCGGAGTTCGATAATTTCACTCAAGTTTCACACCAGCCGAAACTGCATGGAATCATCTCAAAGGGGTATACATGGCAAAGGATACGATAACAGTGAGAAAAATCCTTTTGCAGCTGACAAGTGTGCAGATGATGACAACCGAAAATGTCATGGACTACGTTAACCGAGTCCGTACACTACGCGATCAACTGGAAAAGAGCGGAGGATACTTCCCTCGTGAGATGTATCTCACGATCCTTTTGGCTGGTCTTGGACCCGAATGGCGACAGACGCGCGCCTTCTTGCGCATGAATCCCAACCTCTCCGAAGCTGAAATTTCTTCTTATCTTCAAGCAGAGCAGCAAGATCTTGACCTGCAGTCACAACGCAACCAGAAAAGGGGGGTTCATTTAAGTTTCTACTCCAATCCAGAAACACAGCATCGACATCCACCAAAGTATCCGTTCTGCCATTTCTGTAAGAAACCCGGACATACTTACCAAAACTGTCGCAGCCGTCATCAACGTCGCAGCACTTCGCAGCCGTATCACCGATCGCAGCAGTCACCGAACACACAACCGCAACAGCAGCAGTTAACGTCACAGCAGCAGCAGATGCCGAAACCGCCGCAGAGTTCATCAACGTCGCAGCAGCGCCCGCCGGTTTTCGCATCTGCCACATCAGGAAAAGGAGTTTTTGGATGTGTTACAACAGTTGATGTTTCAGAAACGGATTTCGAAACACGACTTGAAGAAACAACAAGTGCTGAAGGCATTCCTTTACCTCAAGTTTACGCTGACCTTGCTCGCATAATTTCAGGACCAAATACCTGGTATCTCGACAGCTGCTGCGGATGGCATATGTGTTCTGCCGAAACAAGCTTTATCACGAATCAGCGTCCGCTTCGTCGTCCGATACCTGTCACATTCGCCAACGGACAAACAATAATGGCACGATCAGTTAGCAGTGTCATGCTCGAATCTATCGACACGAGATACTCACTTCATGTTACGAATGTTCTTATCGTCGCTGGTCTTGGCTTCAACCTTCTTTCCACAGCTCAACTCCTGGCACACAAAATCCGCACACAAGGAAATTGTGAGACGATGGATCAAGAGCTCTGGCACAGTACAACTAATACCTACCTTGGTCGTGCCGCCACTCAACATGGCGTGTCGGTACTTCAATTCGCAGCACAGGGAACTTCTGGCGACTCTGAACGCGTCCTTGCACTTGGTCCCTGGGATCACCCAGAAGAAACAGACTATCAACTCGTGGACATTGACTTTCGAGCAACAACTGTACCAACAGCTTCTCGAACTGCAGCAGCCGTACTTACCGCGTTGGATACCTGGGAGTTTAATCCTGCCGATGAAAGTGCCAAGGCTTGGCGAACGTTTTATAACACCCGTGCAGCCTTCCAAGGAACTCCAGCACCACTTTGGGGAGAGATAAGTGGTCTTGCAGCTGATGAACCTGACGTCGTTGGAGAAGCAGAACAGGAAGTAGTAGCTGAGCAGCTGAGTCCAACAGTAGCTGCCGCCGAAACACCTGCCACGGCATCAACAGAAGCAGCATCAGCAGTTGCAATCACACCTTTAATCACACCAATGACTGTTACTTTATCTCTTACCCGTTTCATCGAAGGAGAAACTGACAAGTCACCAGCTCTTTCTCCTTTTCTACTTTCTTCGTTTTATACTAACTCCGATTCTTACCTGCGATCATCAGGACACAAAGCCACGGAAGATATATGGCATCAAAGGTTAGGGCATCCATCACAAGGGATCCTAAATCATTCAATACGAGCAGCAGTTCTTGATAAAAACAGTTTACTTTTACCTGATGGCACGGAGATGAAGCCGCAATCTCGTCCGACGGTTTGCACCACCTGTCCAGTTGCCAACCTTACGCACGATCCTTTTCCAAGTCATTTTCCCGGCTCAACTCGTTACCAACTGATGCAGAAAGTCTACAGCGACATACTCAACTTGTCTGAAGCAAGACCTAAAGACGAGAAGTATGTGATAACCTTCATCGAGGCGTCTACACGCTATGTCTGGACAGCTAACTTACCTGCGCGCCATCTCGCTCACTCCGTCTTCATCGCGTGGCTCGCTGTCGCTGAACGAGAGTCAGGAGTGAAACTGCAAGAATTTCAAAGTGATGGTGCCGGGGAGTACACCAGTAATACCTTCACAGAGTACCTTCAGACACTCGGCATCAAACGGAAGCAGTCACTGCCTCATGCACACCAACAGATGGGGATAGCAGAAAGGATGAACAGAACTCTGCAGGAGAAGATGCGTGCTCTGCTGACACAGGCAGCCCTTCCACCACACTTCTGGCCGTATGCGATGGACCACGCCGTGCTGTTACACAATCTTCTTTCTTCAACATCCCTACCCGAGTTCTCTTCTCCACACCTGCAGTTCTCTTCAACGTACAGTGGGGAGTACAAAACTTTTACGCGTTTTCGGGTGTGTTGTACAGTTTCGTCCTCCAACTGCAGCTCTCGGCAAATTTTCCGAATGAGCAAAATGGGGGGTACATCTCGGCATCGAAAAACAGTATCATGCGTGGAAGATTTTGGATCTCCGCTCAAACCAAATCATCCCGTCGCGTGATTGTCTTTTCTATGAAAGACTCACCTTGCCCGTTTTTCGTGCCCACCAGGCAGCAGCTGCCAACCCTGCCAGGCTGTTCGAAGGCTCGCCTGCGTTTGCCACTGACGAGGCTGAAGCTGATGTACAGGACGAAGCAGTTTCTGAAGCATTGGACGCTGCCGCAACTGACATTCCCGAACCTGTAACCTCGACTGGCATACCTGAGTTCATACCTCTTGCCGATGCTGACCCGGCTGACGTTCGCGAAGTCCATCTCAGTTATGAACGCGATCGCTAACAGCAGCCGATGCCCGTCGTCTCCGACGAAGCAGTTCGTGTTACACCTGACGAAATTGGGGGGGAAGAAGGACCAGAAGAAAATTTCGCAGGTGCAAACGAAGAACGTCCGCGTTTTACAGAAACACGATTGCAGATACTGGGATTTGTAGTAGCAGTACAGCGCAACGACAGTAAGATATATGAACCCAAAACCGTCCGACAAGCTCTTACGAGTCCTCACCGAGAAAAATGGCGCGAAGCCATGGACAAGGAGGTAGCAGCACTCAAGAGTCGTGGCACATGGGATTTAGTAACGACTTCAGAGATTAAAGGGAAGAAGGTACTTACCGGAATGTGGGTCTTCCGCGCCAAGACTAATGCAGATGGGTCGTTTGAAAAGTTCAAAGCACGATGGGTCGTCCGCGGATTCGAGCAGACTTACGGCATCGACTATGAACTAACCTTTGCTCCTGTCGGCCGACATACAAGCGTTCGAATTCTTCTTTGTGTCGCCGCCTGCCGTAATCTCCGACTTCGACAAATCGATGTATCGAATGCGTTTCTCTACGCGCCTGTCGACGCACTTATCCTGGTAGAGTACCCGCATTCTTATACTACTAACCCACCGAGCGTTTGCCGTCTACGAAAATCGTTGTACTGCATTAAACAGGCACCACGGCTCTGGCAGCAGTATCTTCACTCGCAGCTGATCATTGCTGGATTTCGACAATTACCGCATGATCAGGGAATGTATCGACTGACCGACGGCAGCAACTACATTTTACTCGTTGCCTACGTCGACGACATCCTATTCGTCAGTACTACCGATTCCCTCGCTAATCTACAGATTACTGGCATACCCTATACATCTTCATACTGAAACTACAGGAAAATCTACAGATTACCGTCTCCGAAACAGTCTCACAGTTTCTTGGCCTGAACATTACCAGTTCACCGACAACTATACATCTCACCGCTTCTAAGTATGCAGCAACACTTGCTGCCCGCTTCAACCTCACGCCTACTACAGTCTCTACACCGTACCGCTCACTACCGACTGACCACAAACCGAACACTGCACTGTTAACTTCAACTGGTTTACAGATCTATCAACAGTAGCTAGGCTGTCTACTTTTCGCAGCTGTCACTTGTCGTCCTGATCTAGCCTACGCGGCCAGTCAGCTCGCTCAGTTCCTACGCCGTCCTGAGGAGGAGCATCAGCTTGATCGACTTCGTGCGCTTCAGTATTTTATCTCGACACCTGACGTCGGATTATTCTTCAACGTCATCGGCTGTAAAACACTCTATCTACATGGTTTTGTCGACGCCGATCACGCTGCTAATTCTACTAATTGACGGTCGCGCACTGGGTTCATCTATCGACTGGAACCTATCGGACCTATCTCTTGGAATTCTATGAAGCAGGAGCTGATTGCACTCTCCTCTTTTGAAGCTGAGTTTATTGCTGTATGCACAGCAACACGCGAAGGACTTTACTTACAGGAACTACTGGAAGAAGCGAAGTTTACGACAAGTATCCAGTTTACCCTACAGTGCGACAATCAAAGGGCAATTCGCATCGCACATCAACCTGGTTTCGTCAACAGGACGAAGCATATTTCGCTTCGTTACTTTTTCGTCAAAGATGAAGTCGAGAAGGGGAGGATGCGATTGGTCTACTGTTCAACCAACGAAATGGCTGCCAATTTTCTCACGAAGAAGCTGACACGACAGAAATTTCAGTACTGTAACAAGCTCTGCGGAATCTTCAAGAAGTGACACTATCGACGTTCCAGAAATGAAGGGGAGTGTTGTGATATAATTGGTACTTAGCATTTTTGTAAGTCGATTAAGTGTAGTTAGTGTCGAATCTTACTGAAGAACATAAGTCCGTAGGATGACGTCAGCAAATAGCGCTCGTCATAGGACAGTCGTTTCAGTCACGCGAATAGTCGCACCTCTTCATTATCATCTAGGGCGCATAGCGCGATAGTGACGAACAGGTACATTAGCGAATAGGTACTTTTCCTAGAACTATAAATCCTTGTCAGGTCTTTTCATTATTAACTTTGATTACACACAAGTTCACGTACTCAGGTTATTCAACCTTGACTATTACATTTACAAGACTTCCGCTGTCTTACTAGTCTACCATTCCAGCAAAGATCCTGGACCAACACTTGAGGATTTGCCAAGTGTTCGTGTTTATAGTTTTATACTTAGTCTACTACAACACTAGACGATTTACTTCAGCCCTAACCTAGCGCCCCGCCGTTCCCTTAGCGTGCCCCCCTGGCCTTAGCGCGCCCCGCTTTTCCTCGGCGCCCTGCCAGCCCTGCTAGCGCGCCCCGCTAGTGCCTAGCCCCGCTGGTCCCTTCCGCGCCCCGCCTGGCCCTATCGCCCCGCTGGTCCCTTCCGCGCCCCGCCTGGCCCTATCGCCCCGCCTGGCCCTATCGCCCCGCTGGTCCCTTAGCGCCCTGCTGGCCCCTCGTGTCCCGCCCGGCCCTCGCGCCCCGCTGGTCCCTCCTGCGCCCCGCCTGGCCCTAGGACCTCGCCGGCCCTTAGCACACCGCCGACCCCTCGCGCGCCCGCTGGTCCCTTAGCGCCCTGCAGCCCCCTAGTGCCCTGCCGGCCCCTAGCGCCCTGCCGGCCCCTCGCGCCCCGCCCGGCCCTCACGCCCCGCTGGTCCCTCTTGCGCCCCGCCTGGCCCTAGCGCCTCGCCAGCCCTTTGCGCTCTGCCTGGCCCTAGCGCCTCGCCGGCCCTTATCGCTCCGCCGACCCCTCGCGCACCCGCTGGCCCCTTAGCACCCTGCCGGCCCCTCGCGCCCCGCCCGGACCTCGCGCCCCGCTGGTCCCTCCTGCGCCCTGCCTGGCCCTAGCGCCTCTCCCGCACTTAGCGCACCGCCAACCCCGCGCGCGACCGCTAGTCCCTTACGGCCCTGCCGGCCCCTCGGGCCCCGCCTGGCCCTCGCGCCCCGCTGGTCCCTCCTGCGCTCCGCCGGCCCATCGCGACCTGTGAGCCCCGTTCGGTCTTCCTGCCGGGGAGTTCTGCCGCCGCGCCGCTGTGCTGCCATGTAGCTGTGCCGCCGTGTAGCTGTGCTGCCGTGTAGCTGTGCCGCTGTGTCGCTGTGCTGCTGTGCCACTGTCTCGCTGTGCTGCTGTGCCGCTGTACAGCCGTGGAGTTGTGTCGCTGAGGTCGCACGATGGCGGACTCTGTACTTCGCCTGGACGCGAAGGGGCACGCGATCGACTTCGCCGCCTGGCTTGTCGACCTACGCCGTCACCTCACAGGTCAGCGCCAGGATGGGCACTCCCTGGTAGTGCATGTTGATGGCTTGCTTCCCCACCCCCCTGCGCATGATCCCCTACGTGATGACCCCACCACTGCTCAGCGTGAGGCCTTTTCTACTGCTGCGCTTGCTCGCGCTATCTGGGATTCCCGCGATGCCGTAGCACAACTAGCCATCAGTCGTGCTCTTTCCCTGTCTGAGCGTCCGCGCTTCGCTACTGTCGCGAATGCCAAGGATTTCTTAAATGCACTCATTGCGCGCCCACCTCCGCCTCTGCTGGCTGCCTGATTCTTCCTATGCTGCTCCCTGATCTTGCCGCTTTCCCCATTGTCGCTGACCTAGCCACTCACCTCTGTGCACTAGAGGCAAGCCACCGCGCCGCTAGCACTGCCGCCCCGCTGAGACCGCAGCTGCAGCGTCCCCGCAGCCGCGCCCGCATCGGGGCAGTCGTGGCCCCAAGGGGGGGCGTGGTGGCAGTGGTGGTGGTGGTGGTGGTGGTAGTGGTGGTGGTGGTGGTGGTGGTGGTGGTGGTGGTGGTGGTGGTGGTGGTGGTGGTGGTGGTGGTGGTGGTGGTGGTGGTGGTGGTGGTGGTGGTGGTGGTGGTGGTGGTGGTGGTGGTGGTGGTGGTGGTGGTGGTGGTGGTGGTGGTGGTGGTGGTGGTGGGGACAGTGGGTCCAACGAGGGGATCGGGGCTGGTGCCCAGGAGCAGCAGCAGCAGCAGCACGAGCTGTCGTGGGCCCACCTCCCGTCGGGTTGGCCAGGAGCCTCTGGCGGTGGTGGCTGTGGTGGCGGCCCTCGCAGCTCAGCGTCAGCCAGCAACCTCGGTGCTGTGAGCTGCCAGTACCAGCTCCAGACCGGCCCCCTCCGCGGCAGTGTGTGTCGTCGCCCGTACCCGACCGTCCGCTGCTTCCGTTGCCTCGACGACCTCTTTTGTCGCCGCTTCGGCCCGGCCTCAGACCTCCCTGACTAGCCCAGTCTGCTGCGCCACGATGTGCCTGTCTTTGAGTTAGATTTGGATAAGATTTGTTCTGCCCTGCATTCTCTATACGCTGATGCTTCTAACTTTGATACTTATTATCCTGTGTTATCTAGTTTAGGTATAGTACCTGTGTGTAGTACATACTTCCCTGTTGCGTCAGGCGTAGGACCTTTTGCCTTGTCTAGTCTAGGCTCTACACTCGCTCTTCCTCCAGCCGCAGCCTCTGCTTCGCTGTCCTTTACACTTGACTCTGGTGCGTCTGCCTACTTCTTCTGCGACCACACCACACTCACGCCGCTTGCAGCGTCTACAGAAGTCGCCCTTGCAAACCCCCTCTCTGGTCCTGTCGTTGCCCGTAGCTACAGTACCCTTCCCTGTCCAACGGTTTCCTCGGGTTCTCTTATAGGCCTGCAAATCCCCTCGTTCTCCAAGAACCTAGTTGGTGTCGGCTTTCTTTAGTACCTCGGTGTCACCACTACATTCCCTGGTCACGAGCGGTACGCTGTTTGTACCGAGGCCACCTCACGTGCCCCCCTTGGAACGTTCCCCCGGGACCCAGTGTCTGGCCACTTTACGCTGGACACTGCTCCCCCCTTGGAGGACACGTCCTCCCCGGGTCCTGCGTCTACCCTGGTCGGTGCGGCTTGCTCGTGTCGGTTGCTGACTCGCCTGTCACTTCTGTGGCACCACCGCCTAGGTCACCCCGCCCTCCCTCGTCTATGTCACATGTCTCAACACGGTCTCGTCCTAGGTCTCCCTGCGTTGCTCCTTGCCCTCCCTCCCTCGCCTGCGCTACCGTGTACTCCCTGCGTCGAGGGCTGGCTGCGCCGTGCCCCTCACTCCTCTTCGCTTCGCCCTATCATCGCGCCACTCCAGACCCTGCACCTGGACGTCTGGTGCCCAGCCCCCGTCACTGGGCCGCGTCGAGAGCGCTATTTTCTAGTGCTTGTCGATGACTACACGTGCTACTCCACGGTGTTTCCCTTGGAGTGGAAGGCCGACGTGTCTGACGTTCTTATCCCGCAGGTCGTAGCTGCGTGAGTCCATCGCAGTCTCTGCGTGCTGTGTCTCCACTCCGACCATGACGACGATTTTGCCTCCAATCACCTTGGCCAGTTCTGTCGTGCGGAGGGCATCACCTAGTTGTACACCCTACCGGACTCCCCGTAGTAGAATGGGGTCACTAAGCGATGCATCGGCTTCATCATGAAGGCGGCTCGTACCACCATGATCCATGCCAGTGCACCCCATTTTCTGTGGCCGTTTGATGTTCGCTACGCCGCTCACCAGCTCAACCTAAGGCCGCACTCCCAGCGGCCGCAGGTTTCGCTGACCCTTCTTTGGACCGGGTTCCCTAGTGACGTGTTCGCGTTCCACGTCTGGGGCTGCCTTGCTCACGTTCGTACCTCTGGCACAGACAAGCTCAATGCCTGCACTTTCCCCTGTGTCTTCCTCGGTTTCCCCCTTGACTCGTCTGATTGGCACTTTTACTTCCCGCCGTCTCACCGCTTCTTTCACTCCCGTGACATCACTGTCGACGAGTCTGTCTCCTTTTACCACCGCTTTCCCCGCCGAGGTCTCTCGGTTTGCCCACCCCTGTTTCTGGTTCCCACTCCCCCTGTAGCCCCTGCTCTCCTCCCTCCCCGTCCTGTTCCGTCTGGTGTGTCTCACGTCACTCCCCTCCCGTCGGCAGTCCCGGTCAAGGAGTTGGCTTACTCTAGTGGCCCCATGGCGCAATTCTCGCCGCCTATTGCTCCCCCGGTGTCTCCATCTTTTGCCGTCGCAGCACCCGCAGCTGTTGCTGCCCCAGCAGCCGCTGTCTCAGCTGCAGCAGCACCCGCCGCCGCAGCAGCAGCCATCCGTGGTCTTCGCTTGTGCGGGCATCGAGGAGGGTGCTAGTCCTAGGGTCCCTGTCATGTCTTGTCTCGGCTGTCCTAGGCGTGGCACCGGTGCTGGAGAGGGTTCTCGTTCTGGGGGTGCTAGTTCAGGGGGTTCTAGTCCTGGGGTTCTTGTCGTGGCTTGTCCCATCGGTCTTCGGGGAGGCACCAGTTCTCGTTCTGGGGGTGCTGGAGTAGAGCGTTCCGGCGGTAGCCGTGGTGCAGTGGACGGTCTTGGTGTTGGCGTGGAGCAGCAGCCGCAGCATTCGCCGCCGGTGTTCGCCCTTTGCCTGCTCGGCCTTCCCTACCCTACCCGCTCGCCTACGCCTCTCCCGCCGCCTCCTTCCCTTCCTGTCTACGGCCCTCTGTTTCCTCCACTAGACCCGTCCCCGGCTCGTTTCCCCCCTCGTTCCCCTACTGCGTCTCCTCCTCTGTCTCTTGACCCGACGCCTCCGTACCACTTCTGATCTCGCCGTCCCTCTCGTGCTTGTCTTGTCTCTCCTATCCAGCGCTCTCACCCCATGTTGCTCCATTCCCACACGTCTCGTCCTCCCCTCCTCCCCTCGCCTCCTCCATCGTCGATCGTTGTCACTCCACCTCCTCTGTCTAACTACCTTCGTGCCGCTCGTCCTCTTATTCCTCAGGTCCTTGCCTCCCTTGTTACTGACCCATCTGTTCCTGTCTCGAGTCTTGACGCTCTTGTCACTGCTGTAGCTGACTTCGCCTCTATCCGCCACCTTGACTACACCACCGCTCTAGTCTCTACCCCTGCCTGCCCTCCGGCCGTCGGGGGTGCTCCTGCCCTGGGCAGTGACGTCCTAGAGGACAGGCAGTACGAGCTTGCCTTCCTGTCTGAGGCCGCTCCCCATCTCTGTTCCATGCTGCTAGTCCCTGAGGGTGACCCTGACGCCCTTGACATCCCGACCCCTCGCACCTACGCTGAGGCAACCTCGGGACCCTGGGCCTCTTAGTGGATAGCTACTATGGAGCAGGAGATGGCATCTTGGAGATCCACCAACACCTACATCGATGTAGTAGATGGCATCTTGGAGATCTACCAACACCTACGTACGCCTGCTATTCTGAGAAGGACTCTCCGTAATTTAAGCCCCATGGGCCTTATACCCGGGTGGTTTTTATCCTTTAGCATCCCAATACTGAGGACCCCCCTTTTTGGCGGTAATAGGGTAAGACCCCTTTCCAGTCAACTAGGGGTCAGCCTGATTGCTCGCGCCAGCATAATGCTTGTCATGTTTGCGTCGCCAATGAGGTGGCGCCACGTGGTGTGCCCTGAGTAGCGAGTTTTTCCCAGCGCGAGCTCACAAAACAAGTCTCGCGTTACCCTAGCCGTACCTACGAGCCTCGGAGAGGAACTCAGGGAGCTGCTGTAACAATTTTCTAACTACGGTGTTAGAATCTCAAGTGTATAACATAGACCCCGTATCTTATGTATTTGCATCCAATTAAAAGACACACCCCCTAAAAAAAAATCGGGACAAGGTAAGTCCCTAGGGTGTTTTAGCCGGGTAAATACGGTACAAACTAAATAAGAGAAATTCATGACGACACTACTAGTTCAGCCACTGGAACAAGAGCCTCAAGGCCAATCAAGATAATATAAAGAGTAGTATAGAATCAAGGTCCTAGCAAGTGAGGAGCTACTGGAACTCGACCAAGCTGTACACAGTGCTGATGATGATCTCTAGGCGCAAGCGCCTTAGTAAATATATCAGCTGTGTTGACACCTGAGGCCAAGTGTACTACACGGGCCTGGCGGCGCTGCTGTAACTCGCGCAGGAGGAAGTACCACAACTGGATGTGCTTCACTCAGCCCTCTAGTCGAGCCTCCTGACACTCGAGGAACATGGCCATGTTGTCAGCATACAGGACCGAGGCAGAGCTAGGCCGCTCACCTAAGTCTGTGAGAAAAAACGTCAGCTAGCAGAGCTCCTGTGCCGCGATGGCACCAGCGCACATCTCAGCCTCACAGTTAGACTGTGCAATAGACGACAAGCGGGTGGACCTCCACGAGATGGCGTCTGCACCAAGGCTAAAGCAGTAGCCCTGGGAATAACTGAGCGTCTCAACATCGTTCGCCCATGAAGCATCTGTGTGCCCTGTAAGAACTACTGGCCTGCACCCTCCCAGCACTAGCCCCATGCCCGATGTACTTGCTAGATAACGCAAAACCCTCTTAGCGGCCGATAAGTGATGGGGTTGGTGTCTGCCTGTCGCCACAAAAAAGCCAGGATACTAAGAGGGTATGCGAGATCAGGACGAGTGCAAGTCATCAGATCCATGAGGCATCCCACCAGCTCTGCGCACGGACCACTGGGCGCAACTGACTCGTCAGGGGCTGGAGATGAGAGCACGTGATCTACTGGCAGAGGTGTAGGCTGTGCAGAGGAGAACTGAAGACCAAACCTCTGAAGGATCTAGCGCACCAAGTGTGACTGTGTACGAGTGATGGTGCGCGTTGCTCTGTCCCTAGAAATCTACAGGCCAAGGTAGCGGCGCAGCTCTCCTAGGTCAGTGAAGGTGTGTCTCCTCAGCAGCTCAGACTTCACGGAGGGTAGTGCGTCCATGTCTGCAGTTGTGAAGACAAGCTCGTCGACATAGACTAGTATGTAGAACGGAGTCTGGCCAGAGGGAATGAAGATAGAAGGGTCAGCAGAGGACGGGAAGAGGTGCAGGTCTACTAACGTAACACGCAGCGTGTTGTGCCACTCACGGGGCACCTGTCGTAGACCGTAAACCGGACGCCGGAGCAGCCACTCGGTCCAAGAGGGAAAGTGCCAGAGAATCCTGATGGGTGGCGTAGGTAGACCTGTTCATGCTGACGGCCCTGGAGAAAAGCTGTGGCGAATTCGAGGGAGTGCAGCTCGTAGTCGCGCTGTGCTGCTACATGAATCAGCGCCCGAAAAGTGGTAATTTTCAGGGTCGGGACGAAGGTCTGAAAGAAATCAACACCCTCGCACTGACTGAAGCCTCTAGCAACGTAGCTTTCCAAGAGGGCGCTTCACCTTGAAGAGCCACCGACCATCAACTATGATCACCCCAGGTGGGGGAGCTCCGTCGACGTAGGTGCCGGTGGATCTCCAAGATGCAATCTCCGCGTCCATGGCAGCTATCCACTGAGAGGCCCAGGGTCCCAAGGTCCCCTCAGCGTAGGTGCGAGGGGTCGGGATGTCAAGAACGTCTGGTTCACCCTCAGGGGCTAGCAGCATGGAGCAGAGATGAGGAGCAGCCTCGGACAGGAAAGCTAGCTCATACTGCCTGCCCTCTAGGACGTCATTGCCTAGGGCTGGTGCACCCCCGACGGACGAAGGACAAGCAGGGTCAGAGACCAGAGCAGTGGCATAGTCAAGGAAATGGGTAGCAGCGATGGCAGCAACAAGAGCGTCAAGGCTGGAGACAGGAACTGAGGGGTCGGTAACCAGAGAGGCGAGGACACGAGGAAAAAGAGGGCCAACAGCACGGAAGAAGTCAAAGAAAGGAGGCGGAGAGACAACAAGCGACGGCTGAGTAGGCGACAAGAGAAGAGGGGCACAGGTAGCACGAGACGCGTGAGAACGAAGCAACTTAGGGTGAGAACGCTGAACAGGAAGGACCGGGCGAGCATGAGAAAGACGGTGAGACTAGTAGTGGGAGGGAGGCGTCGAATCAAGGGACACAGAAGGAGACACAGGGATAGAATGAGGGGGGAACTGATTCGAGGACGAGTTCGACGAAGGAAACACAGGGCTGTAGACTGGTGGAGAAGGTGGCGACGTGAGAGGCGCAAGCGGGTGGTTGGGGGAGGGAAGATTGAGGAGGCGAAGGGCGGATACCGGCAGTGAGTGCTACTACTGCTGCTGCTCCACGCCCACACCAGAGCCTCCAGCCGAACCACGGCTACCCCTGGGACTATCCACGACAGCACCCCCAGGACAAGCACCAACCGAACTAGAACCCATTCCAGCACCCGTGCCACCCCTAGGACCACCGGGACTAGCCACGACAGTACCCCCAAGACTAGCACTCCCAAAACGAGCACCCTCAATACTAGCACCCTCCTTATCACTCGCTCCCCCAGCGCCCCGAGAGCTCGCAGACCGCTGCGGCTGCGGCGGCGACGAGGGCTGCTGCTGCGGCGACGGCTATTGCTGCTGTGGCGGTGGAAGAGACACCCGGGCGGGGGG